AAAAAACTAGGCACACCTGTCCAGCAAGAGCTGGACCCACTGAGTTGTCATCTATGGCAGACGGAGAGGAAGAAATACCCTCCACCTCCACCTTCTGTCTTTTTGGCTGTGAAGTAAATGAGCATAACAAGGAAATATCAGATATTTTCCTATCACTGTATGGAAGTCTCCATTTAGCCTACACACAGATTAGAAAAAGGTATTCCCCTGACTTGACAGAGCCCCATTTGTACATAGCATGATGAGTGGACCACAAGCTGGATTTAAGCTTTCACTTATCCTCTCAATTAGTCACCTTTGTGCAGTGCACAAACTATACAACCTTATATGGCAGACCTCAACATAAGCACTAGTTCCATTAATACTACAAAACTTCATACAGCTTTTAATATGTGGTAACCATGAGATAACTCATGATAAGAGTAATTAAAAGGAGAACAAGACAGATTGAAAAGAAGATCAAAGAAGAGGCATCTAAAAGTGAGATGGGGGTTTGTGGCAGTTATCTTAGAAGGATAAGTTGCCAAATGTAGGCTCTCTGTCAGGAACCCAATACAAACACCGGAACAAAGACAGACACAGGAAAAGATTAAAAGGGCAGATATCTTTAAAAGCTTGGGGAAAATAGCTGTAACTGGGGAGGGGTAAGGGAGAGTAAAGAAAGGGAGTGATTATCTTGAGCTCCTAGGTGGAAAAAGTCTGTTGGGGATTACTTTTAAAATTCGAATTAAACTGGCTTGGCAGTTTAACGAGGCGCTGTCACCTATACCCTTTGAAAGCTATAGACCAAATATCTTAGTTAAAGCCTATGAAGATTTACCTTAATGATGGTTAATTAGTAAAAAAGTGGCTATCAAATAAGAAATAAGAGGAAACGAGCTCAGGAGTCATAAGAAAATTTAAATAAACCATAGTGAAGAACTCATACCAGAGAAAGTTTCTAAATATCAAAAATAATCTTAGATTTACAAATTTAGTTACAGAAAATGTTATAGAATATACTTATTCTCTGGAAAGGTATTTAAAAATATCTATCTGCTTGAGATAGTTCTGAATAAAGACAAGAAGAAAAGAAGGTAAGCTAAAAAGAAAATTTTGGAGTATTTAAAAGTAGGATGTATACTATCTCTGTGAGATGATTTCGTGAAGAAAATAGAATATCCAAGATTTTAACTCTTCTGCCGATGACCTGTTTTACAGAATTAGAGGAGATGGCACTGATTGGAGTGACAGAAGCGGTGCCAGTTCTCCCCACCATCAAGAGTATCTTCTGCTGTGCCTGACACAAGGTGTGAAATTTCATTTTTAAAGATTTACTTCTTTGATTTGTCATTGTTATGGTTAAAATGCTATAGTGCTCTCTGAGAGTTAAAGGACATAACTTGTGAAAAATCATTAATTTCCTGGTGCTACTTTGAATTTGATAATTATCTGGGAGGGGCTTAAAGGGGGCGCAAAATTGTGTTTTGGAAAGGTTTAATTGATTGACATTGCAATAGTCTGCTCAAAGTCTGTGAGAGTATGAATGTCTATTTGTAAATCTGTCATACACACATAAACACATATATCAGAAATAAGAATTATATAGTATACACAAATGTGTTTGTGAGTATGTTTGCGTAAAACTATGCATATAACCAACTACCTACACACCTGGTGTGGTATTGTATTTGATCCACTGTAAAAGTTCTTCCTGAGGCAAATTATTAAATTCTCCTATTATGCTCCATTGATTATGGAGGTTTGCATAACCTTGTATTGACATCACTGTTAGAATGCCAAAGATAACATTCTCAAAACGAACTCTGCGAAAAAGCCAGCCAAAGAGCTGAAACGACAGAAACCATTTATTTATAGTTCTTATATGAAGAGTACTGTAGGGTCAACAATAAATTCTCACCTTGTTACTCAAACCAATGTGAATTACCCTTTGATATCAGCACATACGTATACAGAATTACCATCTCCGATTGTTTCCAAAGCAACGAATATGTTGGCATTACAGGGCCCAGGTGAAAATGGAACTTTCTCTCCCCTGGGAAGAATGAAGGAAGGAATGCCTGATCCTTCTAGTACTAATTTACTACCAAGGATTAAAATAAACAAATCACAACTGTGAAACATCTTAGAACTAAATCCTTTCATCCTTGGCTGCCTTTTGTGGACATCGTTAGTAGACAGGGAAGCCCTATTAGCTTGACATATATAGATTCTTCTCAGGAAAACAGGCATTATGGTATTTTAAGGCTATACACTCATAATCAAAACTAAGTAAGGTGTTTGTAGAAGTACCTGAGGCCCAATATTCTAGCTAATTTATCTAGTTCTTTTGTATGTTAGATACAGTGATAGAACCCCAGAATTTCTTACAGATTCTTTGAGCCAAACAGGACCGTACTAGAGCAATTACTCTGCATCTGCTCTGGTATTGGATGAGCACTTCAGGGTACTTTTTTTTTTTTTAGATGGAGTCTCACTCTGTCTCCCAGGCTGGAGTGCAGTGGTGCGACCTCAGCTCACTTCGACCTCTGCTTCCTGGGTTCAATCAATTTTCCTGCCTCAGCGTCCTGAGTAGCTGGGATTACAGGCACACACCACCATGCCCGGCTAATTTTTGTATTTTAGTAGAGACAGGGTTTCACCATGTTGGCCAGGCTGGTCTTGGACTCCTGACCTCAAGTGATCTGCCCACCTCGGCCTTCCAAAGTGCTGGGATTTCAGGTGTGAGCCACTGTGCCTGGCCACCAGGAAATTTTTTTTTTGTTTTTGAAACAGAGTCTCACTCTGTCACCCAGGTTAGAGTGTTGTGGTGCAATCTTGGCTGACTGCAGCCTCTGCCTCCCAGGTAAGTGATTCTCCTGCCTCAGCCTCCCAAGTAGCTAGAATTACAGGCTCTTGCCACCATGCCTAGCTAATTTTTGTATTTTTAGTAGAGATGAGGTTTTACCATGTTGGCCAGGAAGGTCTCAAACTCCTAGCCTCAAGTGATCCACCCATCTAGGCCTCCCAAAGTGCTGGGATTACAGGTGTGAGTCACTGCGCCAGGCACTCTTACACAAACCTGAACTCCAAAAGGTTATGTTCATGGACAGGATATTAACAGAGGGGAAATATTTGCCTAATTGCTTGTTATAGAACTATCAATTAAAATCTAGAAATACTTTTCAAAGCCACTTGAAATTGCTTTTCTTGCTTATAGTGAATCATGAAGTAATATTTTAAATCATTTAAGTTAGTTAAGTTAAAAACACTTAGTGTGTTTATATTTTGAATTAGTTGGCAAAGCCGCAGTAATTATAAGTGTAGCTGCTATAGCTGAGGTCGCACCCCTGCACTCCAGCCTGGGAGACAGAGTGAGACTCTGTCTCAAAAAAAAAAAAAAAAAAAAAAAGGTACCCTGAAGTACTCAGTCTGAAACTTTTGAGTACCAATATGATGTTCAAAGGTTATGCTTGTATTGTTACAAAAGAATGAATCCCTTACCCGCCGAGAGCATATCAAGGAAGCCATAACACACATGTGTGGCGTCAAGAACAGCTTTAGCCTCATAATTAAAATGGCAAGGGCAGTAAACGCTAACAACTGCAACGTGTGAAAAGCCAGCTATAAAAACACAAATAAGACAAAATCACATTTTTGTTTTTCATATTTTTAAATTAATGAAGTATATTAAAACTATATTATTCATTAAGACAAGGATCTTCTAACTTAGTAATGAGCCTATTAGTATTCATTCATTCAACAATAATTTATCGAATGCTTACTATGTTCCAGGTACTCTTCTGGGTGCTTCAGATACAACAGTGAGCAATTTCTGCCCTTGTATTACATTTAAGTACATTTAGTAACGAAAGACAGACAATACATAGACATAGCAAATAAATAAATCCATTACATAGTCTACTGTAAGGCAATAAGTGCAGCTGGCAAGAAAATGGAGCAGGCAGAGGAGCCAGGGAGAGCAGGAGGTGGTGTGAGGAGGCGGAGGATCAACACAGTGGGCCTCACTGTAAAGTGACAAAGTTACCAATGCATCCCTGATGCAAACATCTGAAATCTACAACGCTCCGAAATCTGAAACTTTTGAGTACCAATATGATGTTCAAAGGTTATGCTAAAACAAATGCTCACTGAAGCATTTTGGATTTTGGATTTTCAGATTAGGGATCTCAACTAGTAACTACAGTGTAAATATTCCAAAATTCAATAAAATCTGAAGTCTGAAACGCCTCTAGTCCTAAGCACTTTGGATGAGGGATACTCAGCATGTGTCATAAACTATCCCTATTAAGTTCAAATGCAGTTACCCACTCCTGTAAATTTCACCTTTACCTCAACACCCACTTAAAGTTCTATCAAATAGGAAATATTTCCAGCCCACACTGATCTTTTCCTTTTTATGCCACAAAATAATTTCGCACCATATAAAATGTTGTCTTATTTGTCTCCTTTGTAAACTTACACATACTGAAAGGCAGGAACATTACTTTAGTATCTTTTGTGTCCTTCAACACTTCTGAGCTTGTTGCTGACTGACCAGCAAATCTACGTGGTGGCAGATGGCCACCAGTCACAGGGCGAGGGGTGTCTGCCCGAATGGACTGTAGCTGATTAGCTCAGCAGTCTAGAAACCAAATGCTTGTTATTGTTAAATGAATGCAATTTAATTTAATTCTGTACTATAGTCACAAATCAGCCTTCTAGCTTTTAAATCCTTATTACTATTCAAAAGTGAGAGCAGATGAAAGAGTGAGGAGGATCAGCAGAAATGTATCGCCAAAGCTGACAACTCACGACTGATGGTGCATCAGCAGCAGGTTATACCTTTGTCAGTTCTCCTCAAACTAGAATGTAATACACAAGTCTACCAGAGATTAAAATGAAAGCTTTACCTCACCGTGTTCAAGGAGCTGTTGTTCTTTGTCAGCTCCCCTCAAACTGAATGTAATACACAAGTCTACCAGAGATTAAATGAAAAGCTTTACCACCGTGGTACCACATGAGCTGTTTTCTAGAATAAAAACAAAAATATTATGCCTATTTACTGAATTACCTATACTATGAATACATAAAAATAAGCTCCATTTGTTTTTGATCTTTAGATTTTTAAAAAAATCTGATCATCTTCTAAACTACTTAGGAACATACATAAAAATAAAAACATCAGATAATACTACAAAAATTACAACAATTTAAAAGTCATAATTTAGTTATTTGGTTAAGACAAAATAGATTTTACAGATCCCTGGAGATTGTACTTATGAATAAATGAATAGGATGACCTCAACCCATATCTACAGTGTATACAATACTTTAGATGACCACTGTTAAACTTTTGAGTTGTTTTCATTTTTCACAATTACAAATAGCATGGACACTCATGCATAAAACTTTGTAAGCATCTCTGAATATTTCCTTAGCACAAATTTCCAGAAGAAAAATTATTGCGTAAAACATAAATATTTGTAGTTTCAGAAAAGTTATCCCTTTACAAAATATTTATCGTGCACCTACTGTATTCTAGGCACTGGGCAACGAAATGAATACCACAGTCCCTGCTTATCCTCCGATCCTCACATTCCACAGTTTCAGTTACCTGTGGTCGACTGCAGTTCAAAAATATTAAATGAAAAGTTCCAGGAAGTAAACAATTCCTAGGTTTTAAATTGTGCACCATACTGAATAGTGAAATCTCAAGTCATCCTGCTTCATCCTACCTGGGACGTGACTCACCCCTTTGTCCAGCATATCCATGCTGTATATGTCACCGGCCTGTTAGTCACATAGTTACCATCTCAGTTATCAGATGGACTCTGGTGGTAGCTCAGTGCTTGTTTTCATGTAACCCTTTTCTGACTTAATAATGGTCCCAAAGTGCAACAGCAGTGATGCTGGCAGTTGAGATATGCCAAAGAGAAGCTGTAAAGTGCTTTCTTTAAGAAAAAAAGGTGAAAGTTCTCAAAAGAAAAAGCATCATATGCTGAGGTTGCTAAGACCTACAGTAAGAACAAATCTATCTATGAAATTGTGAAGAAGAAAAAATTAATGCTGGTTTTGCTGTTGCACCTAAAACTGCAAAAGTTATGGCCACAGTCCATAAGTGCATAGTTAAGATGGAAAAGGCATGAAATCTGTGGGTGGAAGACGTGAACAGAAATGTGTTCCGATGATGGTAATCAGGTGTGTTACTCTTTGCAGTTTCAAGACTGGGGGTCTTGGGATGCATCGCCCTGCAGATAAGGGCAACTGCTGTGCAGCATGAACAGTATGGACACAACACTTACCTTCATAGAGTTTATATTAGAGTAAGACAAGAGGTAGGAGACTGCCTATTTTATTCGTCTCTTGAAAAGACTGGGTATTTTATGAAAGGTTTTATAGCCTGCAGAGGCTATAAATAGGGATTTCGGGGGTGAAGAGAGAAATAAGTATGGAAAGTAAGTTCAGGGGTACAGAGACTCATAGGTTTTTTAAAAGAGAAGTCAGGGGAAGGTCTCTTAAGGTAGTAGTGGAGCCCAAATTATTCTATCTCCCTTGTAGCTCCTACCCTTTGTATGCAGTAGTTTTTTTTTGTTTTTTTTTTTTTAAATAGAAGATGGGGGGCGGGGGGAGCGGAGCAAGATGGCCAAATAGGAACAGCTCCAGTCTCCAGCTCCCAGCGGGAGCAACGCAGAAGACAGGTGATTTCTGCATTATCAACTGAGGTACTGGGTTCATCTCACTGGGGAGTGCCAGACAATCAGTGCTGGTCAGCTGTTGCAGCCCGACCAGCGAGAGCTGAAGCAGGGCGAGGCATCGCCTCACCTGGGAAGCACAAGGGGGAAGGGAATCCCTTTTCCTAGCCAGGGGAACTGAGACACACAACACCTGGAAAATCGGGTAACTCCCACCCCAATACTACGCTTTAAGCAAATGGGCACACCAGGAGATTATATCCCACACCTGGCCGGGAGGGTCCCACACCCACGGAGCCTCCCTCATTGCTAGCACAGCAGTCTGTGATCTCCTGGCAAGGTAGCAGCGAGGCTGGGGGAGGCGCGCCCGCCATTGCTGAGGCTTAGGTAGGTAAACAAAGCCCTGGGAAGATCGAACTGGGTGGAGCTCACAGCAGCTCAAGGAGGCCTGCCAGTCTCTGTAGACTCCACCTCTGGGGAGAGGGCACAGCTAAACAACAACAACAACAACAACAAAGCAGCAGAAACCTCTGCAGATGCAAGCGACTCTGTCTGACAGCTTTGAAGAGAGCGGTGGATCTCCCAACACGGAGGTTGAGATCTGAGAACAGACAGATTGCCTGCTCAAGGGGGTCCCTGACTCCTGAGTAGCCTAACTGGGAGACATCCTCCACTAGGGGCAGACCAACACCCCACACCTCACACGGTGGAGTACACCCCTGAGAGGAAGCTTCCAAAGCAAGAATCAGACAGGTACACTCGCTGTTCAGCAGTATTCTATCTTCTGCAGCCTCTGCTGCTGACACCCAGGCAAACAGGGTCTGGAGTGGACCTCAAGCAATCTCCAACAGACCTACAGCTGAGGGTCCTGACTGTTAGAAGGAAAACTAACGAACAGGAAGGACACCCACACCAAAACCCCATCTATAGGTCACCATCATCAAAGACCAAAGACAGATAAAACCACAAAGATGGGGAAAAAGCAGGGCAGAAAAGCTAGAAATTCAAAAAATCAGAGCGCATCTCCCCCTCCAAAGGAACGCAGCTTATCACCAGCAATGGAACAAAACTGGATGGAGAATGACTTTGATGAGATGAGAGAAGAAGGCTTCAGTCCATCAAACTTCTCAGAGCTAAAGGAGGAATTACGTACCCAGCACAAAGAAACTAAAAATCTTGAAAAAAGAGTGGAAGAATTGATAACCAGAATAATTAATGCAGAGAAGGCCATAAACGAACGGACAGAGATGAAAACCATGACACAAGAAATACGTGACAAGTGCACAAGCTTCAGTAACCGACTCGATCAACTGGAAGAAAGAGTATCAGCGATTGAGGATCAAATAAATGAAATGAAGCGAGAAGAGAAATCTAAAGAAAAAAGAAGAAAAAGAAATGAACAAAGCCTGCAAGAAGTATGGGATTATGTAAAAAGACCAAATCTACGTCTGATTGGGGTGCCTGAAAGTGAGGGGGAAAATGGAACCAAGTTGGAAAACACTCTTCAGGATATCATCCAGGAGAACTTCCCCAACCTAGTACGGCAGGCCACCATTCAAATTCAGGAAATACAGAGAATGCCACAAAGATACTCCTCGAGAAGAGCAACTCCAAGACACATAATTGCCAGATTCACCAAAGTTGAAATGAAGGAAAAAATCTTTTTTTTTTTTTTTTTGAGACGGAGTCTCGCTCTGTCGCCCAGGCTGGAGTGCAATGGCCGGATCTCAGCTCACTGCAAGCTCCGCCACCCAGGTTTACGCCATTCTCCTGCCTCAGCCTCCCGAGTTGCTGGGACTACAGGCGCCCGCCACCTCGCCCGGCTAGTTTTTTTTTGTATATTTTTAGTAGAGACGGGGTTTCACCGGGTTAGCCAGGATGGTCTCGATCTCCTGACTTCGTGATCCGCCCGTCTCGGCCTCCCAAAGTGCTGGGATTACAGGCTTGAGCCACCGCGCCCAGCCTGGAAAAAATCTTAAGGGCAGCCAGAGAGAAAGGTTGGGTTACCCACAAAGGGAAGCCCATCAGACTAACAGCAGATCTCTCGGCAGAAACTCTACAAGCCAGAAGAGAGTGGGGGCCAATATTCAACATTCTTAAAGAAAAGAATTTTAAACCCAGAATTTCATATCCAGCCAAACTAAGTTTCATAAGTGAAGGAGAGATAAAATCCTTTACAGAGCAGCAAATGCTTAGAGATTTTGTCACCACCAGGCCTGCCTTACAAGAGACCCTGAAGGAAGCACTAAACATGGAAAGGAACAACCGGCACCAGCCATTGCAAAAACATGCCAAAATGTAAAGACCATCGAGGCTAGGAAGAAACTGTATCAACTAACGAGCAAAATAACCAGTTAATATCATAATGGCAGGATCGAGTTCACACATATCAATATTAACCTTAAATATAAATGGACTAAATGCTCCAATTAAAAGACACAGACTGGCAAACTGGATAAAGAGTCAAGACCCATCATTGTGCTGTATTCAGGAGACCCATCTCACATGCAGAGACATACATAGGCTCAAAATAAAAGGATGGAGGAAGATCTACCAAGCAAATGGAAAACAAAAAAAAGCAAGGGTTGCAATACTAGTCTCTGATAAAACAGACTTTAAACCATCAAAGATCAAAAGAGACAAAGAAGGCCATTACATAATGGTAAATGGATCAATTCAACAGGAAGAGATAACTATCCTAAATATATATGCACCCAATACAGGAGCACCCAGATTCATAAAGCAAGTCCTTAGAGACTTACAAAGAGACTTAGACTCCCATACAATAATAATGGGAGACTTCAACACCCCACTGTCAACATTAGACAGACCAACGAGACAGAAAGTTAACAAGGATATCAGGAATTGAACTCATCTCTGCAGCAAGCAGACCTAATAGACATCTACAGAACTCTCCACCCAAAATCAACAGAATATACATTCTTCTCAGCACCACATCACACTTATTCCAAAATTGACCACATTGTTGGAAGTAAAGCACTCCTCAGCAAATGTACAAGAACAGAAATTATAACAAACTGTCTCTCAGACCACAGTGCAATCAAACTAGAACTCAGGACTAAGAAAATCAATCAAAACTGCTCAACTACATGGAAACTGAATAACATGCTCCTGAATGACTACTGGGTACACAACGAAATGAAGGCAGAAATAAAGATGTTCTTTGAAACCAATGAGAACAAAGATACAACATACCAGAATCTCTGGGACACATTTAAAGCAGTGTGTAGAGGGAAA